GGTGAAGCAGGAGACACCAACAGGTAAAGCGACAATCACATGAACAAAAAAAAAAATATCAAATTCTTTTTTCCCTGCTGTCGTAATTGATGAGTACACAGTTACAAATTTAAAAAACATGTATTTTTACGTTAATTTAATGGGCTAAGTCATTTACAATTAATGGACTAACTTATTGGATTTCTTTTTTAAACGTGGTATGATGTTTAAGGCTTATCAAAAAGCAATATCGTAGTTATATATATAATTACAATTAATGGACTAACTTATTGGATTTCTATTTTAAATGTGATTTGATGTTTAAGGCTTGATCAAAAAGCAATATCGTAGTATTTCTAAGAAGGAATTGAGAACTAATTACTTCGGTGTTATTCTCAACAAATCATTTTTTTTTTTTATAATTAAGTTATTTTTTATAAAAATATAAATTAGAATTATATTAGTAAATATGTAGGGGTAAAATGGTAATTGTACTTTAAGATAACCATGGAAATAGAGAAATTTGTGAGATTCTTAAATTTTGGAAATTTAAAATTTCAGATTTTTTAAATTTCAAAGTTTTAAATTACTAAAATTTTAAATCTTGTATTCATTGTAAAATATATAATATTTTAGGTAAATACCAATTAACAATGCATATTCATAACAAAATACATATACATTCATACAATCCAAATTCATAACAGAACATATAAACATATAAATTCATCCAAATTTATAATATAGAACATTCTTTATTGAATTGTGATATATATATATATATATATATATATATATATATATATATATATATATATATATATATATATATATATATATATATATATATATATATATATATATCATAACGAACTAATATCATGTTATATAAAAATATGGATTCATATAAAAGAAGTAGCATACAAGACAACACATAGATATAATTTCTATGTATTGAACCAATTTCTTCTATCCCGTTCATCTTGGTGTTGAGTATGTTTCTTCTTGACATGTACTATATTTCTTTCGTTGAGTTTTTTTTAAAGCCGTATGTACACAAAAAAACATAAACAATAAGGCATATGTAAAAATTCATAGCATAATAACAATAAAACAAGAGTTTGTATATATAAACTCATAATAGAATATCATTTACCGTATTAATAATGTTTGAAGTTTAAACTCATATTGGTGTGTCCTATTTTTATCTACTATTTTAACTTTTAAACTCATTGTAGAAATTAATAAATCTCTTTTATTGAATTTTCAATCCCAATAATTACAAAACTCTTATTCAAACAACCTTTCATTCACCTGTCATAATACTCAAACACAAAAATCTTCTTTCCTAAATTTTTCATACATGTTAGTATATACAATTATCAACATGTATCAATCAAACTTATTATTCAAACAAGTGTTACCAACTAAACTCCGTACTAATGGTATCAAAACTAGTTTATGACCCGTGGTAAACGCGGGGAACATAAATTAAATACATATTACATTAATAGGTTGAAGAAGAAGGAGAACATGAATAAGAACAAAGTAATATACAAGAAATTGTAGAAGTAAAAGGAGAACATGGTAAAGAAAGAACTTAGAAAAAAAAATTATAGAATTAAACCGTTGAAGAAGAACACTGTAAATCATACGATTCAATCCAAAATCGTAAAAAGAACAACTTCAATGTAATCGTATATATAAGTTGTTTTTCAATAAGGAAATTAGTATCTTCCAAAAAAAATGGGATCCTAAAATATTATCTTGGAGATTTTCGACTATTCATCTAAAAAAAATGATATCATTTATATTGAATCAAAATTTCAAATTAATTGATTTGCTTAATTTATGAGTTTTAAATTCAAAATCATTATCTCAAATTGATTTATTTTACGTGGGATACCACCAGGAGATAAATTATAAATAATATTGACTTTATTTTTGACTCTTAAATATTTTGCTAATTTAATAGAATTAGATGAGATTTTATAGGTTAATGATCAAATTGTTGATATGCTTATTTAATGAGCTTTTTTTTTTTCTTAAGAATTAAATAAAAACTAAATGAGTTTGAATTTTGAAGACAGAAGCTATAAACAATGGAGTTAAATTAGAAACACTATTAGTTAGAGAAACTAAAATCTCATATATAAATAGAATGATATGTTGTATTTGATAATGTAATTATTAAATTTAGAGATTCTATAATTAAATGTAATTGTGTTTGAATTTTATTTGAAAAAGATGATGTCAACAATCTAATCTAACGGTGGAAAGCATAGGATTGAAATGCAATCAAAGGTCATGATTGCTTCATTGGTGAATTAAGAGTTTTCTTACAATAATTTTTAGAGATGTTTGTAGTATTCTTCGTAAAATAATGTTTTATGTTCGATGTTAATTTTTTTTCCAATTCAACAATGATTATATTGTCAACAGTGAAGTTTGAGATTGCATAACCATCAACTTTGTTCTTTAAATTATAATGTGAAATTTGAATTTGAACACCAATTTTTTTTTATCGAAAAGTACATTCAAAGTAGATGGATAAATCTTTATATTACCCTACTAAAATTTATAAAAAATTGGTTATAAAAATAGATAGACAAAAGGTAAAAAAATAGTTTTATATAAATGAAGTTAATATCGAATACCTCATTAAACTTTTGAAGCAACTCTTGTGCGGTTTTTTCCAGAAGTTTCTTCGTGTCACGATCAAATAACGTAACCACATCGGTAAAGTCTTGTACTTGAATGTTGATTTTGAAACTAAAGCCATTGATATAAACAAATACAGTAATATAAAATTAGAAAATTTAACTAAAGAGTATAATAATATGTATAAAAGAATTTTTGAAAAACTTAGAACAATATATATGTATTTGTTCATGCAAGTTGAAGTGTAACAATAAAAAACTTCTTCATCTTGCTTTTGGTCCATTCCACGAGTTTTGTCATCATACGTTAAAACGACTTTTATGATTTTCTCTTGACAAACATAGGTCAGCATATTAAAAAAATTAATATAAAGGATATAATTTTGTTTTTATAACTAAATGAATGAAACTAATATACTTAAAGTAGATTGATTAACTTTTCCATGACCTCTCAACAGGAATACAATAATAACAAGTAATATGAACAAAGTAAATACAAGAAATTGTAGAAGAAGAAGGAGAACAGGGTAAAGAAAGAATCTAGAAAAAAGAATTATAGAATAAGACCGTTGAAAAAAAACATTGTAAATCATACGATTCAATCCAAAATCGTAAGAATAACAACTTCAATGTAAGCGTATATACATAGGTTGTTTTTCAATAAGGAAATCATTATCTTCCAAAAAAAAATGGATCCTAAAATATTATCTTGGAGATTTTCGGTTATTCATCTGGAAAAAAAATGATATCATTTATATTGAATCAAAATTTCAAATTAATTGTTTTGCTTAATTAATGAGTTTTAAATTCAAAACCATTATCTCAAATTTGTATATTTTATGTGTGATATACCGGAAGATAAATTATAAATAATATTGACTTTATTTTTTATTCTTAAATATTTTGCTAATTTAATAGGACTATTAGTTTTTATAGGTTAATGACCAAATTATGGATATGCTTATTTAATGAGTTTTTTAAAAATAGAATTAAATAAAAACTAAACGAGTTTGAATTTTGAAGCTACAAGCTATAAATAAGGGAGTTAAATTAGGAATAATATTAATTAGAGAAACTAATATCTCGTATATAAATAGAATGATATGTTGTAATTGGTAATGTAATTATTGAATTTAAACATGCTATAATTATTAAAGATTCTATAATTAAATGTAATTGTATTTGAATTTTATTTGAAAAAGATGATGTCAGCAATCTAATCTAATAGTGGAAAACATAAGATTGAAATCCAATTAACGATCCTGATTGCTTCATTGATTAATTAAGGGTTTTTTTTTTAATAATATTTAGAGATTAGAGATATTTATATGAATTATAATTGATACAAGGTTTTAAAAAATGACTCATATCCTACCAATTATATCCATGCTTTAGAGTTTAGAGTACATAAATTATAGACAAAATTGCAAAAATGGTCGTTATGGTATGCATTTTTTGGGGGTTTTAGTCCAAACCTCGACTTTTTTGGATTGGTGGTCCTTTTGGGTTGGTTTCTATGCGTTTTTGGTTCCTCACGAAACTGAAAAGACTATTATGCCCTTCTGATATATTTTTTTATGCTTTTTCTATTTAATTTAAATGAAAAATAAAATAATTACCTAATTTAGGGCCCACATCTCTCTCTCTCTCTCTCTCTCCATCACCCACCTTTGACTATTGTTTTTCTCCCCCGATCAAACCTGGAAACCACCATTTTCTGATGAAAATGGAAGTTGTAAACGAAAATAAGAACCTAAATCAACAACCCAAATCTAGAACCCATTTCTCCTTCTTTCACATCCAAAGCTTTGATGAGATAAACCAGCTCCAAACACCTTTCTTTCCATTCAATTTTGTTGTTGCCATCAAGAAGAAGAACAGGAGGCAGCTGCGTCTTCTACTTCACCTATCTTCTCCTTCGTTTCCTGTTATGAAATGTCAGGGGTGATGGTCAATTCCGACGAGAGTTCGAGGCAACAACCCCTTGTTGCTCCATCGTTTTACCTGTCGATCTTAGTCACTGAACTTCCCCTGAAGACTGTTGCGATCGTTGCTGCCTTTCCCCCCTTTCATCCTCCATTTCTTCTTCATTCCCTGGCCTGAACCCACCACCAAAGTGGGTGTTTCCTCGAAGCAAACATCGGAGGCAGCAACCCCTTTTTGATTCCTTCTGAGACAGAAGAAGCGCAGGAGCTGAAGGCGGTGACAAGCTCGAAGATGGTTGAAGCATCGAAGGTAATGGCAATATGGCTGCTCCGTTGCTCCTCTCAGCTGCTTTCCCCTTTTGTTGACGGCTGTGGAGGTGGGTAGCACATGAAGTGAACATAGGGTGTTTGGGCTATTTGATCGATGGGAAAGAAAATGAAGGAGGGAGTTGCAGAGGTGGGGGCAGCCACCAGTTCTTCTTCCCTTGCTGGTGGTATCCAAGAACGAGAGAGAGAGAGAGAGAGAGAGAGAGAGAGAGACCCATTTTTATATTTAATAATAATAATAATTTTAAAAAGGGAAAGAAAAATGAAAAATAAATTCATTAAGGGTATAATAGTCTTTTTAGTTTGGATAGGGACCAAAACTGCATGTAAACCAGCCCAAAATGACCACCAATCCAAAAAAGTCGAGGTTTAGACTAAAACCCCAAAAAATGCATATCACAAGGATCATTTTTGCAATTTTGTCTAAATTATAAAAAGAAAACAGAAAACGTAGACCTTAATTGGTCTTTTTAAAAGCCCAGCCTAAAGAAATATTGGCCCAATTGTGAGTACCCCCTTAGGCCTTACTCCCATAGAATCATTTATATGAAACCCTAATACTTATTCGCTCTAAACTCTCTGTTGAAGGGAGGTTTGTCACGCAGTCTCTTCGCGTCTCACTTTTCAGGTTTGAAGCTTTCGTTTCCCTCTGCTTTTCATTCTCACACGTAAAAACATAATGCATAGATGTATTTTATGGTTTGTACATCTTTAGGTTTTTAATTTGAAGAACATTTCTGTTGTGTTTTAGCGCCTTTGATCATTCCGAATGCTAGTTATAGGTCTATGTGCCTGTTCTGACCACATTGAGCTCCATCTTGTTTTTCAATTGTTCAGGAGAAATAATTACGAATACTTTTCTTTCAAATGATTGTATTCTTCTTTGAAAAATAATGATTTGACCATGTTGTTGTATTGAAATCTATTCATGTGTTCTCTCTCTACATTTGGTTTCTCTTATTCGTCAGTTTTGTGTCTGATGTTAGTTCTTCTTGCTTGTTTGGTGATTATTTTGGCTATCATTAAAATCAGCATTGTTATATACACACGAATGTAAACGCAAAGTTATTAGGGGAACTAGAAGGACATTTTTGTTTCTTTGTTTCAGGTCTCATAGATGTTAAGCTGATTGAGCCTAATAGTCAAATATATGGAGTCATCGCAGGCATTGTTTACATGTTAGTTAGATTTTAAAGCAAGCATTCCTCAAATAGCTAAGATCATACATCACAAACTAATATATTTAAGAAAGCTTTCTTCTCGAAACTACCAACTCATCTATTTGTTCCACTGTTGACTTTCTCACATTTAACTGTTACCTATCTTATCTTTGTTAGTAGTTAATAAATATTTATGGTTTCTTCCATAGTTATCAATGGCAGTCCCTAAACTTGATAAGAAGATCGTTAAGAAGAGGGTCAAGAAGTTCAAGAGGCCCCACAGTGACTGGAAAATATGTGTCAAGGTACAATTTTTTTTCTTGTTTTAATGATACAAAAAAATTTTAAAATTGGAATTTGTCTCAACTTATGTGTTTTTATATAACAGGAAAACTGGCGTAGACCAAAGGGTATTGATTCCCGTGTAAGGCGTAAGTTTAAAGGTGTCACTCTTATGCCCAACATTGGTTATGGTTCAGACAAAAAAACTCGCCACTTTCTTCCCAATGGTTTCAAGAAGTTTGTTGTCCACAATGCTAAAGAACTTGAAGTCCTCATGATGCACAATAGGTATACATATATATATATATATATATATATATATATATATATATATATATATATATATATCCTACTTTTATATTCACATATAAATTATATAACCACAAACTTTTCTTCAATTCTATTAACAATTTCAACTCTTTTTTACCATTTTCAGAACATATTGCGCTGAAATTGCACACAATGTATCCACCCGTAAAAGGAAGGAGATTGTTGAACGCGCAGCTCAGTTGGATGTGGTTGTTACCAACAAGTTAGCCAGGCTTCGCAGCCAGGAAGACGAATGAGGTTGATAGCCATAGTCCATTCCGATTCCGATCCCATTTCATATTCCAATTCCGATTCCCATTCCACCTGTTCTTTCATTTACATTCCAATGTTAAAGAATCTTGCTAGGAGCAAAGTTTTAAGTGTTTTGAAATTATTATATTGAAGAATGAAGAGTAGTTTATTCTGCTAATTAAAGATATAATGATCTTTGCATACATATATTTTATCTACACATATCAACTAATTTCTCAATCTTTCTATATATGTTTATATCTCCCTAAAATCGTTAAAATTTACTTGTCAACCATGTAGCATAGTTGGTTAAAATCTATTTGTCTTGTTGGATTCTCCCATCTGATGATTTCTTTAATGCATTTTTCAACTTCTTTTATTTCCTCCATAAGTCTGTAGATGCAAAACGACAAGGAATTCAAGTGAAGAATCGTTTTCTCTTTCCAGTCTTCGGTTGCTTGAATTTTATCTGTCGCCTCCTTTATGTGTTGAAGGAAAGCATCGATGTCTTTAGTTGTTGATTCCGTCGACACCGGAATCGGTCTTGCTGATTCCAGGTCCAAAAATCCTTCCTGTTCTTGTAACTGGTGCTCGAAGTCTTCGATAGATTTCACCGACATGATGTTTTGTAGATGCTTGATTCCGTTCCCCTTCAACATCTCTAGATTCCGAATGACATGTTCTTGAAGCTCTTTCCGACCTTCATCGGAATCGATAAACTCCAAGTTATAGATCATAATTTGCATCAAATCAACTATTGTCGATAAGCTCTTTTGAACACGATCATAGCAATTCCCACGGAATGATTGAAACCAGAAACACGGTTCCAACTTCGCGTCTCTGCTCAAGTTCTTCAACAAATTTAAATCGGATTTTAACCGTTTGATATTTACTTTAACTAAAACTAAATTCAAACTTGATATTTTGTTGAAGCAATCGTCTACTATCCCCAAACATTTTGACACGTGGCGTTTCACCAGAGTTGTAGCTCTGACCGGTTCAAGAACAATTTCCAACACCACCATGCAAAAAAGCCCGATTGAAACCTCCGTTAACCTCGCAATTGCAAATTCCTTCACCGGTCCGTAGTTTTTCCGGCCGAGAATAAGAAGAGCTCCGATCACCGCTGAGATGCCGCCACTTTCTCCAAACATCCGGCTGTGTTGCAACAAGCTTGTGAGAACAATCCATGGAAGAAGAATTATGAATCTTATTTCAGCAACATGATACAAAAGGCAACTCCCGAGCACCCCGTAAACTGTCCCGATTGCTGTTCCTTGTACTCGAGCATTTGCAACTGTGAAAATCGCTTGTCTTCCTTCCACAAAACTAATCGCGATTGTTAGCCCAGACCAATACCCGTTCTTTTTGTCAAAAAACATTCCCAAAAGCACTGCAAGCCCTAATGAAATCGAGCACTTTAAACCAAACACAATCCTTTGTTGGCTATATGGTCCGGTAATTCTTGACTCTTGGCCAACATCAATCGCTTGAACCGATTCCGATTCCGTTTTCGTTTCCGATTCCGGTTTCGGGTTCATGCTCGAATTGTTTACGAGTAATTCGAAGCACGATAAAAAGAAAAAAGCCGGTAGATTCCGGTGCGTTGGTGGGGAGTTTGTGAGTGTGTGTAGTGATTTATCAAAGAGTTCGTCTTTCCGTTCCGGAACCGTGACCGCTTCATCGAACGGGACAAAACATTTGGCATGGTCGAGCTTTAAGGTCTGGTGGATGCGTTCGCTTTGCAACACGGATCTTAACTCCGGATTCACGATTCCAATAGGAAAAGACGGAATGGAATCGAGCGCCAATTCCATTCCTTTTATCGGTGTTTCGATGTTGTCTAATCGGTCTTCCATCTTCACGAAACTTCGCTTGAAATCCCGCATACGATACCTCTCCCACTTCACACCTTCCTGGATGTGGTTGATGTGGTTAATGAGCTTGGTTCCTGATCCCACCATGGGTTCACCTTGTGAAATGAGATCACACGCTGTCGTTTTGTCTTCACTTAAGAAAGCTTTCATATAAAGTCCACTTCTTTCTGACGCATTTTCTGTATACAACTGAAATTGCTTCTTCACCTATACAAAACAACAAAAGTATAAAATCAATAACATGTCTTTTTTTAGTAAAATAATTATCTATTTTCGATGAAAAGACAAAAAGGGAGGTATCAGGTATCTAAGCATACCTCAGTAACAGCCAGTCTAGGGTACGGCAGTATCAAAGCCAGGACGGAAGCCGACGCCCCAAGGGCGGTGCACGCCGCAACATGAACCGGGTGAGTCACCGCATCGGCGGTGCCGCCACGAACCACCGCGCCAACATAAATAATCACAAGCTGTACAAAGGCAATGCGCTTGGCTAGAAGCGGTAGAAACTCCGGCACCGCCACCAGAAAGGCGCTCAGAGCCACCGCGGCGGCGGCACCACTCTCGGTGAACCGTGAGGGGCCCACCGCCCAGAGACAGAGGATGGATGAGGGGAGGACAAGGACGGTGGCACAGAGTGCATAGAAAGAGCCTCTTAATGTGGTGCCGAGTGTGGCGTCTGAAACGATTAAGATGGCGGTTACATAGGCTACGGATGGGTATTGGATTTGGTTGCGGATGTGTTGTGGACCATATAGGGCGGTGCAGCCGATAATAGTGCATGCTATGGCGGTTCTCAAGGCGGAAGCTAGTCTTTCCCGCCATATAGCACCTGCATGGGGCGGCGTCACCACCATTTTGACTCCCATTTTCTTGTTTCGATTGATCCAAAATGTGTGTAAATTTGGTGTCCTCTCAACTTTTGATTACTATGGAGTTTGATAGAATGATCGAATGATGTGTTTGGTTTTTTTGGTGTTTAGTTTTTCATGCACGGTGGTTTTGTAGGGGATGAAAAGTGTAGTGTTGGGGGAGGTCATTACTATGCGGGGGTCCTACGTGGGACACTTTCATTTATAAAGAAGTTGTAGTCGACAGAGATAGCATACACCAATATTAATATATACATGGATATTATATTTAGAGTTATATATATATATATTTTTAATGTTTGAATAAATTACAAAAAATCGTGGATGTAGTACATTCAATTATGAATGTAGTCTCTAGAAGAATTTAGTTTTACGAATTTGGATTAATTCAAGTTTGTTTTGTGGTTAATTTTTTATAGTCATTAAAGAAAAAAAGTGAATTGTAAAAAATAAGTCAGGTTGAAGGACGAAAATGATAAGAAAGCAATGTTAAGGGAGATATACATAAATTTCAGTATATTACAAAGGACGAGTTTTGTAATTTACGCTGAATACTTTTATCGTGAAGATTAAGGTTAAACGGAAAAAGGTTCGACTTAAAAAGTCAGAAAAGAATGAAGAAAGTAAGTTGACATGTGATGTGAGTAATTGGTCAAAAGACTGCACTTTTATTTTTTACTTGATATTCTTTCTCGTATACTGAGAACGTCAAATACAAGAGATATTTGGGTGTTAACTTATTTCTCGTTATATGTATATTAAAATAGTAAAGTTAATTTAGAAACAGATTTTTTTGTTAAATATCTTTTTCTGTATTTACTAATTTGCGTACATCAACGGGCAAATTATTGAAATAAGTATTTCACGTTAATTATTAACTTTGGGTCACGTCACAACTCCAATATATGAGTATTGAGTAAATAAATAGAATATTAATATATCATATACATGTATACTAGAGTTTTCGGGAAAAATCTACTTAATAGCCTCTCTCTTCTACGTGTTTTTTATGTCACTCCATATGGAAGGTTGATCATTCTAAATCTGTCTAATAATCTCAGTTGTTTATTTTGCAAAGTATATTTTGTTTGAATAACAAATGGCAGTTTCAAACTCTTTCAAACTAAAGAGGTTGAATGGATTAAAAATAGACCATGATATTAGAAAATATCTTTAATAGTCTTAGTTCATTCTATACATCTCTAGATTCATACCATATTATTGTTAACAAATTACTGATATCGTTATCTTGGTAAACATCAAAGATCATTTCATTTTTGGCATATTGAAAGAACATATTTGGACTCATATGTAACTCGTGTGAGTAAATAGTAAATAATACTTGGTGTGTACCAAAACGATGATAATTAATTTGACACGCTAGAAAACTCTTACGTGAACTAAAAATCTAACAGACCAAAGTATATGGTCCACAAATAAAATTAGCGGTTGCAGAATGAGTTGAAGAATCAAGAGGGAATTGTGCAAAACCGCCGTATGCAGAAGGGAATGTATAAATGCATTATATGATATTTTTAGATTTGGATGAATGATGCATGACACGTCCATCACTTGCAGGTAGCGCCATGCAATGGACTTCATTTATTCCACTTTTTCCAACTCACTTCAAACCCTAAATTTGTGTGGTGACAAGTGAATGGGAATTAATGTGGTTATAGTACCATTGCCAATTTGGGGTCTTATAATAATTCTATCTAACTTTTTAATATTGTCCACATGATTATAAGTGTTGTTACCCTTTAAAACTTTCTTTGGCATTTAAGATGGTCGAATTGAAACAACCACGTACGTGTAGAAAACCCTAGTCCAAAGATTGATGGGATTCTTAAAGACGCAAGTTAACCAAAGTTGTGGCAGTTTAGATTAGTGTTATATATTAGAGTTAGTCATATATTAACCCTAATGTTGGTTAACCACAACCCAAGTTGTGGCGGTTTAACTAGAGTGGTCAGACTAACCCTAGCGCTAACTAATACCACTGGTTCAATTTCTATCGTTACTGTGTGACATATTATAATCTAGTGAATCAATGCTGGTATAATTAATTGTATTAGTAGATCATAATGATAAATTCTTGATGAATATTGATAAGAAGATGAATTAGACGGAATTTTAGTACACATGTTTTGATAAAGATTCTTGTTTTGGGTGTATGTATAAAGGTCACGTTAAATTCTATGTGAATCTATATGACTTCAAAGTAAACGCTTGAATTTGTCAGATTTTATGAACGGCAATATATAGTTTTTAAAGGTTGAATTTTACAAATAATTTATTAACTAGGTTAATTTAAAGAATGTAGCTTCAGAATCTTGGTTTCCATCTAATATTGTTTGTTAATCTAACACCATCAAAAAGTCTCCTTTAAAACCTAAATATATTCAATCTATGTGTGATTACGACATTTAAACAATAAGTAATATTAACTTAATTACAAACAATCAAAACAATTTACAGAAATGTAATGGAATATCTTAACTAAAAATCACACCAAATTCTAATAATACAGGGAAAACCGCCAAACTCTTTCTTTCGGGTGCTTGTTTTATAGCACGAGAACAACAATTATTTTATTTATGAGATGTTAAACGTTTTGCTTTCAATTTAAACAAACTTTTGAGCTTACGTATTCATCTTCTATGTGATAATCATAATTATTTGTGATATTGGTGTAAAACAAACAGTATTTTCAAATTAAGCCGAACCATACAAGTCTTGTATAATTAACTTATAAATACACACGTGACATCAGGTGCAAGAAGAAATGCATAGACGGTAGTTTATGTAATTATGTATCTCTTGATGCGTGCATAAATAAATTAAACAGAGATTGAAATTGATTGTCGTTCCAATCATATTGGAGAAGTGTTTTTTCTGCATTTTTAAAGTGATTACAATAATCTGTATTCAGTTTAAAATTGATTAGAAACCTTGTAGAATGCCATCAAATATTATGATATGATTTAAACTCGTTGTTTATACGATCAAATTCCACATATATAGTCTTTTTTTTTGTCTGTTTTTCTTAGAATATACTATTATGATGGTCGCATCAGATATTTTAGCTAGAGTTTTTATCAAAACCATTCACTAAAAACAAAATATTAGACATCAGTTAAATTGACTAAAAAATATAATACATTATTAAATCAACAAATAATGTATATATACTAAGTTTTTCTTTTCTTCCTTTGTGTTGTTTAGTATATTGTCTTGTTGGCTCCTTTTCTCGTTCATGGGAGATAAATTAAAACATGATCCCGCCGGCGTCACTGGGCGCACTCTTACCCCCCCCCCCCCCCCCCCTCCCCTCTCTCTCTCTCTCTAACTCTACACACACACACACACACATATATATATATATATATATATATATATATATATATATATATATATATATATATATATATATATATATATATATATATAATTGTTTAAATAAGAACACTAAATAAAATGAGAAACTTAGTGAGATCATATATTTGCCTACGAATCAAAATATCTGATAGTTATGATTGATTGAGATATATATATTTGATAATTAATAAAGAAAATATAGTATCGGTATGCTCGTATGAGAACGAGAGATGCCTAAGATGCCTAACCAATAACCGACAATGAAGGCGGGAAAATGAAAATCCAGATTCAGAGATAAACATGTGTAGTGTAGAAGACGAGGAGATGTCTGAGGTTTAAACTATAATTTTCAAAGGGTCTTATACGTTTGAGATTGAGAGGTTACAACTTGCAATGCATGTCTCGAAGAAGATGGATGTCAAATGGGTCTTTTAGATTCGTATTAATATATTTTTCAACTCGTTTTTTCTTATAATGTAACCATTTTGTGAATACATTTCTGTCCACTTTTAACATTTAGAAGATGTTGCAACAGATGCATAAAAATATATATTATTAAGGTTATACTTTAATTAAACTTTTTTAAAAGTTTCATATAGGCTCTTTAGCCATATTTTTTTTAAAGAACCCACTCATACTAAGCAATCAAACACAAATACATCAAAGGGCAAAAATAAAGTTAAAAGCGTTGTGCACTTTTGTTTTATAAATCTATGTATATGGGATCAACGTGTTGTATATATGGTACACACACAACAATAAATGGTGAGGATCAACTTGTTGATGGCCTATGATTGAAACGTTCTCAAATCAAAAAGTCTGGAAACTTCAATAAAAGCACCAACACAACAATAAATGGGTGAGAAATTTAATGATTTTACCAAAAGTTCGAAGTAAGAACATGAAAGGTGAGGAATGTCATATGTATTGCGTATAAGAGTATAAAACAAATTTTGAAATACCTTAGTTATTAAATTCTTAAAACACATTGTGACCTTTCAATATATGTGCTCTTTGCTTTTAATTTTAGTGAACCTGTTTTCTAGTTGCAGGTGCTCTCTGATTTATATTCTTATCGACATCATCCACTTTGTGGATTGTTTTTATTATCATAATTTTGTTGTTAGTGTATATAAAGTTTATCTTTTTTTGCAATTATTTGAATGATTTGATTCTGTTGTCTCCCTTAAGTTTTTTTTATTATCTTTCTTAGGCTTATGATTTTATCATTGAACGTTTTAAATCAGTCAATTTGGTAATGGTCATCTCAAATTGACACCAAGGTTGGCACCGGAATACAACTATCTTATGGTAATGTACAAACACGGCCCGTTTACATTTCACAATATTAAAGATAAAAATTTAAGGCGATTGACTATTGATAAGTGATAACTAAATCCGATTGATTTTTTTTGTAGTTTTATTTTATTTCATAGTTCTCTTTAATTTTGCTATAAAGTAATAACGTGAATGACTCAATTTGGAGCAATGATATGATACTGATAAAAACATATTAATCATTAATGTGAACCGTGGATGTGGAATCTAGATGAGAAAAGCACATTAAGACAAACTTTATTATGGAGTGTCATTTTTATTTAAATCGTTTTTATAAGGTTGTTGTAAAAAAATTCTAATCGTTAAAATAATGTTGTTGTAGTGTTGTTTGCTAAAAAAAGATTGATGACTTGCTATTGAAACGTTGTCGTTGGTATAAATAAAATCAAAGGTCAAATATTTATTTTAGAAGTTGCTTAATCTTTCTTGGGTGAAAAACGC